TTCGCGGGACCCATTTGAGGTTTTAGGGTTTACTACCTCATATTAGATTAGTCATTGGTCTGCAATCAAATTGAGCTGGATTTAGCTTCTAATTCATAACTACAGGCATGGAACGAAGTTATTACGATATCGAAAAATTTGCCAAGATCGATAGGCAGGGGCGCCGTGCAATTTGTTGGTCACCGCTGGATCAAAAGGATTATCACCTCAGTCTCGATCGTCATGGAAAGAATACCCTTCCCATTCTTCGAGCAACAAGCTTTTGAGATCGCAACCTCTCCCAGAGCTCATGTCGTTTCGGGGGGGGGGAGCATTCAGCGGGGGACATTCGAGAGAATGAGCCAGTTACTGCTCTTTCGACTAAACTTGGACTTAGAGGGGTTCTGTGGGAGATGTGAGCAATCTAACATTTCCCCCCGGGCTACTGGGCTTGGTCCTAAGTGTCACCCACCAGTCAGGGTAACCTACTTGTTACGTAGTACCACGGGGGGGGTGTACTCTGGTTAACGATAACGGAGGCCAAACAGCATGTTCAGTTAGTGGGACGCCCAGTTTGAATATTCAACTGTGGCGCCAAATGCGCCAAACGGACGCTCATTCAGGCTCCGCCCCCACGCTGGGACGCCTATAAAAGGCGCCCAGATTGTGGTCATTTCACCGTTCATCTGAACAATCGTCAGCATCAATGGCTCGTACCAAGCAGACCGCTCGTAAATCTACTGGAGGCAAGGCCCCACGAAAGCAGTTGGCCACCAAGGCCGCTCGCAAGTCAGCACCGGCAACCGGAGGTGTGAAGAAGCCTCATCGTTACCGCCCGGGAACCGTCGCTCTTCGTGAGATCCGTCGTTACCAGAAGTCGACCGAGCTGCTCATCCGCAAACTGCCGTTCCAGCGTCTGGTCCGTGAAATCGCTCAAGATTTCAAGACCGATCTGCGTTTCCAAGTCGTCGGCTGTGATGGCTCTCCAAGAGGCCTCTGAGGCGTACCTCGTTGGTCTTTTCGAAGACACCAACTTGTGCGCTATCCATGCCAAGCGTGTCACCATCATGCCCAAGGACATCCAGCTGGCTCGCCGTATTCGCGGTGAACGCGCTTAAGAAGTTCAGTCGCCGAGTTGATTTACTCTGATCTCATTCTAACCCAACGGCCCTCTTTAGGGCCACAAACCAACGATGAAACGAATACTTTGAGTGCCTTTTTGTTTGTGAATAAATCTTCTGAAGTGTTGGTGTGCTGGGGGAAATTGGCAGGTTTTACAGCGCTAGTAAGGTTCACAGCTCACATTACCTTACCATTAGTGGAGTGAAGGGTATTGGTGTTCATTCCTCTAATTTTGACCAGAGAAATGGGTAGGTTTTTCGCTTTGTCGCTTGCGAGTCGATAATTTCCCACGCTTGAAAAGTGACGCCACGCTAGCAGATTTAGCGCGCGAAGGTTCAAACGAAGCGCCTCAGCCATCTGTTGGATGGCCCAGGAGAGGCTTTGCGGTAATTCATCAAATAAAGGCTAGAGAACATAGGATTATGATGCTTCTGCATGAATTGAGGGACAGACATGGCAAATGACGGGAGGAAAAGGCAACGTCTAATTCATACAAATATCTTTTAGTATTTTCACGAATCTGTAACTGGCCTACATCACGACGAAACGTTCGAGGATGGGGACCGCGATTTCGACGGGCGCTCTGTTTTTGTGCTCTCTACCGAGGCCTTAGTCACCAATGGCGCGTATTTTGAAACTGCACATAATGGCGAAAAGAGTAACTGTCCCTGTGGACTAAGCCCTGGAGGAGCAGACGAACAGAGCGCGCGCGCCATCGCGTGCCCCCCCCCCCAACCCGAGTTTCGCCCCTCATATCACAATTGATCGTTTTTCGAATGAACCTTTTTATGCTTGGTTCGTTTAAAATGATGAACATTTGGGTAAACTGTAGTTGATAGCAACATTATGAATAAATACACTGTCAAGAAAATCAAATGGAAATGCCTCTGAGTGGCATGACTTTTGGACACACTATTATTTACGTTTCTGCTAAGCCTACATAGGGCGCACGCATAGTCGGTCGTCCGACAGCAACGATCGCAACTGTCTGACTGTCTAACTGCATCTAATCGTCGAATACTCAGGCAAGTCCGACGATCGATACGCATCCAATGCTGTGCGACAGTTACGATCGTTGCTGTCGTCCGACCGACTATGCGTGCGGCCCTAACAATAAGGCAGACGTAAGAGCCAAACAAAAAAGAATCAAATTGAGGCAGTGCACCTCTACTAATTGTGGTTCAATTATTTCTTCTTCGCAGGGCGTTTGTAAGGTTCAAAAAGCAAGGAGGACTGGAGACACTTTTGATTGAAGACTAATGGATGTAGATCCAGCATGACATTTTGTACTGTTTGTTGCTTCGTGGCGTGTGCTTTTCTTCTCAATTGTTTGTCAACATGGGGCCGTATGCTGAATGTTGGGGAGGGGACGGGGATGGGGAAAGGTTGGGGAGGTTCGTCGCAGGACCCACTGGGCAACGGTCGCACCTTTGATTTTGCAGCTTTGTTTCCATCCTTTTACTGTTTCTGATTGTATATTCGCACGTAAATACCTTTCTTTACACCAAAAACAGCGATGAAAGAATGGAAACAAAGCTGCAAAATCAAAGGTGCGGCCGTTGCCCAGTGGGTCCTGCGACGAACCTCCCCAACCTTTCCCCCTTGCGCCTCTACCTTCTCTTCGTATACATTCATAAAAATATGGGTCGACAGAAATCCCCAACTAATGTAACACAAATCGTTCCCTGCGGCCCGCCGTAATCGTAAATTTGGCGCCACTAGTCGTAGTTGCGGTCACTACACCTCACATAGCGGCTTTGTCGCGTTTTCTCCTTTCTATTCTGCTTTGTTTTCTTCACAATCGTAACTACGCTATTGTTGACTGCAAGCTCTTCAGGCCTGCATGGTTTAATGCTATCGAAGTTTCTCGCTTTCTTAAGCGACTTACTACACAGGTCTAGTACCCATCAACAGTGGGAACGTATTCTTGGAAAACAATTGGAGGTCAGTTGCAAAGTTTATCATGAAATTTATTTGATTGAGTTAGGACTTAGTTGGAGGGGAAGGAGGTTGGGCATTGTTGCGCTGAGCACACATCGCATTTGAACGACGAAGTTTTTCACTTTCGCTCTCACCTAGTTCTCTTTTTGGACTGGTAAAATCGTTCTCCACCCATGGAGCATCCTCCAACTGCAAAAAATAGTATTATTATTGTGGAGAGAATATTATGATAAGATGCTTTTCCCCACCCTTCCAATCCAAACAAGACTTGCGCCGAAATTGACCAAGAACATGCCGTTTCCAAGGTTTCCAATCTCGAGCTCATTGTTTGTCTGCATAATATGTATGGCTAAATCTTGCGCAACATTTCGC